CCATGTCGTACAGGAGAAGGAGCACTGAGCATACGTCCAGTCTAGGGAACTTCTTTGTAGCACAAATTCTAATTGGCGTTAATAAAAAAACTCAGTGTCAGCTATCAGGGGGTGAAGGCTGAAAGATCAAAGAAACAAAGCAGCCAGCCACTGGAGAGTTCTCACCTCTACTGATGCTCAGACCAAAGGGGAGATCCTGTCCTCAGACTGCAACGTGCTCTTGTTTCCTCCGCCTTATATTTCTCCGTCAGCCCAGCCACATCCCTTCCCGACTTCACCTCCCTAGTGCTGGGATTACAGGCATGTCACTCCAAGTCCTGGGATCACCTCTGTGTGAGCTCTGTTTCTCTTTTAGACTGGATCAACTTCATGTAGCCAAGGTGGCCTTGAACTAACTGCTCCATCAGCCTCTGTCCTCCTGAGTGCTGGGATTAACGGTGTGAGCCACCGCTGCCTGGCCTCTATGGCTGACTATACCCCTGGTCAGAACTGTGTCTCATGCTCCCCTCAGCCTGACAGAGTGAGGCTGGCTCTGCACTCTGATCTTCAGTCAAGCTTTATTTGTTAGATCATAGACAAAATATCACCACACTTCCAGGCATAAGGAGTCAACCTGGATGGCTGGAACCTCAAAAAAACACAACTCATTTAGGGACTGAAGACATGGCTCGGTGGGTGAATGAATGGCCCGCTGTACTACTGAGACGACCTGTGTTTGACTCCCCAACGCCCACATATAATCCTGGAGTGAGGATGAATGTCTGAAACCCCAGCATGCGGGTGAGCAGAGACAGGAGGACCCCAGGATGTGGGAGACATGGAGGTCCTTGGGCTCACAGATTAGCACCAGGGGAACCTGGAATGTTAGACACATAGGGTCCTTCCTTAAAGGAAGGGATACACAACCTGTCATCTGCCCAGAAGGCTGGGAGCCAATGTGGCTAATAGCATGGTGACCTTTGCGCTCTCTGTGGGGCTGGAGACCACACCCGATCCTTATCACAAACTGGTTTTTCTCAGAAAGTCTACAGATCCCTCCTCATGGAAGGCATCGCATGTCCTTCCCAGTTTCAATGCAGTCACGTCCAATCTGTATTTACCTTCTTTGTGCTCTGTTGTGCACACGAGAGTGAGCTGTGCTCCGCTTAAATACACCCAAAGTTTGAGCCAACACAGGCTACTTAGCTATCGTGAACCGGACTGCCCTCTTGCCTTCCTGGGGTTGCTACTGTGCTGGCTGTGATGGTCACAGAGACCCCCACACCAGAGAGTCTCTGCCTGGTCAGCCGAGCTGACACAGTGTGCTCAAGGGTGAGTGGGAGACTTTGCCTCCAAAAATACGTTGTAAGGTCACTGGATGTCAACCTCTGTCCTCCATACACACGTGTACACACAGACACAGACACACACAGAGACATACACACACACACACACACACACACACACACACACACCAAGAATAACTCATTTAGGGAAGTCAGGGATCCCTGGGTGGCTGGGGAGGGGAGCCCTTCTAAGGACTCAGGCATTACACTGGCCTGCCCCTGTCACCTGGCAGAATTCACTCAGGCAGCGCCCTGGTCAGCCCAGGGTTCCATGATTGAGTAGTCTGCACACAGGTGCAAAGGACCCCTTTAAAAAAAAAAGACCCCGCCCACATACCTTCTCTTTCCAGCTCTCTTTGTTACTCCTCTCTCCCTAAGGTTCCCCGGGGCAGAATGGACTTACCCCGTCTCCCTCTCCTCCTCTTCTCTTCTGTCCTCTCTCTGTCTCTTTACCTCTTTTCTCTGTACTTCCCCCTCCCTCCCCTTCCTGAAAATACGTCTCACTCAGGCGCTGTCTGCCTGGAGTGTTTGTCCCTAGACCTCGGTCACCCTCGCCTGCCGTGGAATCCGCCAAGGTTCCCCATGAGAAGTTCCCCTTGATCTTTATCCTAACAGCCCTACCTGAATTAGAAATCAAGCAGCTGAGGGGGGAAATAAAGACCCCTGACCTCTGTTACCATGGGGATGCGTGGGGTCTGCAGCCTGAGGCAAGCAGGGCCCCAAGATCAGGAACAAGTTTTGTCCTTGGCTTTCAAATTCCCAGTCGTCCTCTCAGCATTCTCTAACAGCTTCCAGTGTCCTTCTGAGGACACCCTACCTGTCTCTCAACTTACAGGGCCCTCCAGGCTGTGCCCCGGACCAACAGTCCCCACTTATTCCCACCTTGCCAGCATTTTCTGGTCATGATCCTGACGTGAGCTCCTTGACAGCTTTCGAACGGGGCTGGACACCTTCCCCAGCTCTCAGCTTGCAGCCTTTGGCCACCGGAAGCACTTTATCCGTGAGGTGAACCAGCCTCACTCTGTCAGGCTGAGGGGAGCATGAGACACAGTTCTGACCAGGGGTATATGACGACCATTCTGGTGGAGGCTTCTATGTGATGGAACATTATTTATGACTGATTAAGGCTTGCCTGAGGATTCAGAAAGCAAAGTCAGCCACAAGCCACAGGAACCAGGCACACACCTTCAATTCCAGCAGTCAGAAGCTAGGAGGTGGTGACGCACACCTTTAATCCTAGGACTCAGGGTTAAGAGGTAGACAGATCTCTGTGAGTCCAAGGCCACCCAGCTCTACACAAGATTGGTCCAGTCCTAAAGAGAAACGACTCACACAAAGATGACCTCAGCACCGGGGATCACACGCCTTTCACCCCATCATTAGGGAGGCATCGAAGACAGGAGCAAGGTCTCAGTATCAGGCTTTCATTCGCCAGCCACACACCGAGGACAGGAAGACATTCAGTCTCAGGATTCTCCAGTCATGCTGAGGAGAGGCAGCAGGATCAGCCCATTCCGCCTGAGGCAGTGTGGTAAGAGCTCACTAGTGGCTGGCTACGTTGCTTTTCTGCTCTTCTGCTCAAACCCAAATACCAGTCTCTGGGTCATTTATTTATCGTGTTCCGATTCTGGAAAAGTCCCTGCCCTGCCTCCCCCATTCCTCCTATGGGAGTGCTTTTCTCTCAATCCCTTTCTCTGGGGGCACCTGGAGCTTCAGCTGCCACAGGTAGAGCACATCTGAGGGCCCCCTCACCCATCCTCAACTGAAGCACAAATGTGTCTTAGCTGCCACATCCCACTGTTGACTCCAGAGTCTTGGTGACGCTGGTCCCTGTGTGTACTTAACAGATTCGTATTGAGCGGATTAACAAGTTGGTGGGGCTTCGGGCCGGGGTCGGGGGTAGGTGGAGTTGTAGCTTGCAACTGGAACTGTGTAAGGCGCCTAAGGCTGGGTGATGTGCTGAGAAGTGACCAGGGATGCGGGGACACATAGGGGTTCTATTGCTGCAGTGAAACACCACGACCAAAGAAAAAAAGGGGGGGGTATTTGTCTCACACTTCCACCTGTCGGTTCATCATTGCAGGGAGTCGGGGCAGGAACGCATGCAGGGCAGGAACCAGGAGGCAGGAGCCGATGCAGAGGCCATGGAGGGTGCTGCTCACTGGCTTGCTCCCCATGATTTGCGCAGGCTGCTTTCTTACAGAACCCAGGACCACCAGCCCAGGGTGGCCCCACCCACAATGGCTGGGGCCTCTCACATCAAGCACTAATAAAGCGGCTTGCCCACAGCCCGATCTTAGGGAGGCGATTTCTCAGCTGAGGCTCCCTCCTCTCTGATGGCTCTAGCTTGTGTTGAGTCGAGTAAAACTAGCCAGCACAGGTGGTGTCAAGGGGGCGAGAGCAGACAGAAGCAGTGTGGGAAGCTGCAACTAGGACCTCACAGGCCTGGGATAGGAGCCAGGGCTCTGTAGTAGGAGATTAGAAAGCCCAGGAAGGCTCTTTCCACCTATCCCTCTGAAGAGGCAGGCAGGCCTCTCTCTCTCTCTCTCTCTCTCTCTCTCTCTCTCTCTCTCTCTCTCTCTCTCTCTCTCTCTCCCTCTCTCTCTCTGTCTGTCTCTCTTTCTCCCCTCTTTCCCTTCCCCAAATAAAACTTTCTTCCCACATTAAAGAAAGAAAGAGAGAAAGTGGGGGAAGCTGGGGATTGTGGTTCTGAATGTAAACGATGCCATCTGGTGCATGCGCATCAGCTGGAGGTGTCTGTGCCTGTTTAGGGCAGATCTGATCCTGTCCTGTGGTGGTCTCAGGCCGCTGAAAATCCCCAGATAGAGACTCAAGACTCAAAAGCTTCAGGGCAAAGTGGCCAGCAGATCTGGTATCCCTCCCAGTGCCTGGCAGCGCTGGTGTCTCTCTCCCTCCTTGATGCCTGCAAATAGCTCAGAAGAAGAGTCCTCCCAGTGTGTTTCCCAATAGCTTTCCGCATCTCAGCTCAGCCTGAGGGACCAATATGTTTGTGGCTGGGCAGTGGCTAAGGGAGACCTGCGTGATCCGGACCTTCCTGTTTGGAAATTCCAGCAAGGAAGGCCAGCTCCTCACTTCTTCAACAAATGTCTGCTGTGTGCTGTGTGCCAAGCTCTAGAGACAGAGGGGAAGGCAGATGTCCCTACCAGGGGGGGAGAGCACATAGACAAAGCAGGCATTTAGCACACACACACACATACACACACACATGCACACACTCACACATACACACTTACACACATGCACACACCCTCACACACTCTTACACACGTGTACACACTCTCACACTCACATGCACACTTACACTCTCACGTGAATACACACTTTCACACACTCACACACACACACACACGCGCGCGCGCGCGCGCTAGGAGCTTCTGGCCATCCTGGGCCTCTGATGCAGTCAGTGCTGTGGCCCCAAGTCTCTGAAGTCTGACTGTTCTTATTTGGGTTTTTGTAGAATGCCACACCCGTCCCTGTACAGCCAAAGCACACACAGCATGGCCAGGGTCCCTGTATCTTCCTCAGATGAACCCTGTGATGATATGAAAGCCCAGAACTGAACTGCTTCTTGGAGTTTCCTTTGGACCTGTTCATGACCAAATGGAGACTCCAGAGAGCCAAAAGCAAATTATTATTATTATTATTATTTGGCTTGGAAAAGAGGTAACCCCCCCACCATGGCCTGCTCTATCAGCAGAAGTGGGGTTCACAGCTTGACCTGGCATTATACATTCACATGGTAACAGACGGGAGCTGTGCCAGGCTCAGTCCCTGGGTGGGGACACTCAGGGGCATTGGCAGGGAGATGGCATGTGAGCAGGGACCACAGCCCCTGCCCACCTCCTCTGGATCTCTGGCTTTGAACAGACGTTTTTTTTAAGAAACACCTCCCAAGATAGCCAGGGACCCAGCGAAGGTTAGTCCAACACATCTAACTGGGAGCCAATGCAAGCCTGCCCGTCCGAAGGCAGGCTACTCAGAGAGGCTGCACTGCTCCAAGGGGTCCTTGCCCGCCATCTTCCTGATCTCGTCCCCGTAGAAGATGAGGCTTCGTCGCATGTACTCATAGCTGGCCCGGTGAAGAGCCTCCATCCACTCCTGATGCTGCTCTTGGCTACAGAGTTCAAAGTGATACTTCCTGCTGAGGTCTTCCACTAAGATGGTGGAGAAGCCGCCAGGCTCTTCCTGGGCCACTCTGCAGCGCTCCAGCAACAGGGCCCCGAGGGACTCGGCCTCGTTCGGGCGGAAGTAGAAGAGGAAGTTGACCACCAGCTTCACCAGCCGCCTCTTGGCCACGCTGCCCTTCTTGGGACCTTGTATGCCCAGCTCGGCCGCCGTCTCTGCCTGCTGACGGGACAGCGCCTGCAGCTCTTTCTCGTTGTACCGCATCATGCCGTCGGGATCCGCGCGAACCAAAACGCGCCCCGCCTCTCGGCCGCCGATCTCTCCAGCAAATTATTTAGAAGAGCCAGATGGAAGTTCAGGACTGAGGTATTAGAATGACGGAAGTTGAAACTCCCTGCAGAACTTGACACCGTGTTGAACACGGTCAAGGAGCTGGGAATTTGCAAGTCTTCAAGCTTTGACAGCTTGAAGGACAAAGAGAGGCTCAGCTCGTACAGTCTGACGTTTGGGACTCTGATGTATCAGAAGAGGAAAATGAGCAAGAACAGGGCAGGACATACATTTGGATAAATAACCAGAAACTTCCAAGAGTTGGCGTGAAATGGCAGCACGCAGATTCCAGAAACTTGGCTAACCCCAGACGAGGTGGACACAGCAAACGGAGACTGTCACCTGGATATGTGATAGTGAGATTGTTAAAACACACAAAGCCCACTGGGCATGGTGGCGTATGCCCGCAATCCCAGTGCTTGAGGGGCAGCAGCAGGAAGGCTGCAAGTTCGGAGAAAGCTTGGGCTGTGCAGCAAAGTCCTGTTTGAAAAATCAATTGGTCAATTAAATTAAAAATCAAAATGCAGAGGAAGCTTGGAAGCAGTCAGAGGAAAGCAACGGCTTTTTGTGTGGAGGAGCAAGGATGAGGAGGTTTCCTGGCCCCTTTGGAAACAAGGCTAAAACTCAACAGAAGGACGTATTTGCAGAACAGACAGCTGCTCTCGTGTGTGTTGAATCACCAGGCTCCTGCTGAGGTCTGCAACCCCAGCATCTCCCAGGGCAATGAAGGCTACAGGACACACCTAGAGTCTAGGCGCTGAGAGAGGATAGGGAGCTCATGCTTACATGGAATCCACAGCTTGTATGGCTGAAGCAAGAGGCTCTGAGTTGGGACATCCAGAACATCAGGCCCTGATGTGTCCGGTTCTGAATAGGGTACTTGAAAGGAATCAATCGGTCCCCCACATCCTCCTCCAGCTGACCCCTCAAGGTTGGCATCACCACTCCCCCTGTTTACTGAGGTGGAAACTTCAGTGAGGATTGTGTGAGTCACAGGTCAGGATTTATAGCCTATGAGTGCTGAAGGTATTTTGAACCCAGTCTGTGTGGCACTCAAGCTTGGGACCCAGTCCCAGAGTGCCCTAGGAACATTTAACTGCTGTAGTGGGCCTGAACACACACACACACACACACACACACACACGCACGCACGCACGCACGCACGCACGCACGCATGCACGCACACGCACAGAGTGACAAGAACATGTGCATCTAGATACACACACCACACATGCAGCAAGAAGGCATTCCATAGGAAAATAGTCCAGCTTTGTTCTTGGTCTTGAAAACAGTATGGCTGAGCCCACCTCAACCGGAAACAGGAAATGGGGCCCGCGGGCCTCCCTCCTCCTTCCGCCCCCTTGCTGAGGCTAGCTGCCAAGGCCTTCATTTACCCCTGAACCACCGCCTTACACAGGCCTTGCTTTGTCTGGCCCACCCTGGCAGCCTGCCTACTGGACCCTCAGCCCTCACATACGCTTTCCTGAAGTCTCCACCTCTACGGCCAGCAGAGCTGGAGTGGAACTCTTCATCCCAAATCCAAGGTTAGCCACACCGGCAGCTGGGTGGGTGATGCCCCTTTTGCTTCACAAAACCTGGCCTGCAGTTGTAACTCAATCCTTCCCATGAGGTCCCCCAAGGAAGGGGCCTCCACAGCATCTTTTTATGAGCAGGACAAATGGCCACCCCCAGATTCAAAACACCCTTTTTTTTTTCTCCAGTTCTTCATTAGTGGGAAGAGGTGGAGACATTTGCTGTGTTGTTGGCTTTATCACACACTCATCCAAAAAGGATACTGAACACCTCTGCTCAGTACCAGGGCCTGATCAGCAGGAGGCATCTCTATTGCTTGAGTCTCAGTGCTTGGCATGTCACAGGTATTCTATGTTTTAGGTGGATGAATGCATGCATGCACTGATAAATGGAGGGGATGGGGGACTGATGGGTGGATGCATTGCTGAACAAATGATGGGAGGAAGGAAGGATGGATGGATGGATGGGAGGATGGATGGATGGATGGATGGATGGATGGATGGATGGGCAGATGGCTGGCTGGCTGGATGGATGGATGGATGGATGGATGATGGGTGGATGCATTGCTGAACAAATGATGGGCGGACAGATGGGTGGATAGCTGGATGGATGGGTGGATGGGTGGATGGGTGGATGGATAGATGGATGGGTGGGAGGATGGATGGATGGCTGGATGGGCGGGCAGATGGCTGGCTGGATGGGTGGATGGATGGATGGATGGATGGATGGATGGATGGATGGATGGGCAGATGGCTGGATGGCTGGATGGATGGGTGGATGGATGATGGATGGATGGATGGATGGATGGATGGATGGATGGATGGATGGGCAGATGGCTGGATGGCTGGATGGATGGATGGATGGATGGATGGATGGATGGGTGGATGGGTGGGCAGATGGCTGGATGGGTGAATGGATGGATGGGTGGATGGATGGATGGATGGGTGGATGGGTGGGTGGATGGGTGAATGGATGGGTGGATGGGTGGGTGGATGGGTGAATGGATGGATGGATGGATGGATGGATGGATGGATGGATGAATGGATGGATGGATGGGTGGGCAGATGGCTGGATGGCTGGATGGATGGGTGGATGGATGGATGGATGGATGGGTGGGTGGATGGGTGAATGGATGGATGGATGGGTGGGTGGGTGGATGGATGGATGGGTGGGTGGGTGGATGGATGGATGGGTGGGTGGATGGGTGGGCAGGTGGATGCATAGGTAGTGGACAGATAGCTGGCCATATGTCTGGTTGCAGGGATGGGTTGACAGATTCACAGAGTATGTAGCTGATAACCAAGAGAGAGTTTCCCTCTCTAGAGAGACCACCCTCTTGGTAACAAAATCCCTTGCCACACTTTTTCTCTGCTTACACAAATGCCAGGAGGGAAGGAAGAAAACTAGGGAGGAAGATGGGCCTTCCCAACTCCATCCTGCCTGGCAGAAAGAGTGACATCCATCACTAAATGTGTGAAAACAATTGTTCTCTTTGAGGAGAGACCATAGGACCCCTGAGCCCACCTTAGAGGGAACTTCATGGGCTGCTTTGATCAAGGTACAACTTGAATATGGGGCCAGTAGGGTGTCCCCTCTCTGTATGCCTATTCAACACACTCACAGCGAATACACACTCATAGCGAATACACACTCATAGTGAATGCACACTCCAGAGCACCCAACTCTGCAGTCACCCAAGTCAGCACCTGCTACATGCTACAGGCATGTGTGGCCTTCACGTGTGCCTTACTTAATGCAGCAAAGCACCCTTTTTCTGTGAGTCCCCTCTTTCCATCCACACACAGCATTTCAAGTGTGGCCAGCACTTAGACCTGCCCAAAGTAGATTCCAGGCCACCAGAGAAGCTCGGTAAGATCTCAAGAAAGGGCAGGCAGATTTGGCTCACCTCCATGGAATCTGTTCTCTTAGAGACTAGCACCAAAGCAGGGGAATGACCTTGACTGTTCCTCAGAATCCTAGTGGAAGGCTGGGCACTGTTCCAATATGTCATGGAGCGACTGCCTTGTAATTGTGCCGAGGGCCTGCTCGTGAATTTGGTTTTCCACATGTCTTGGTCACTGTTCTACTACTGTGAAGGGACACCATGACCACAGCAACCCTTATAAAGGAAACTTTAACAGGGGCTCAGTTCAGAGGTTTAGTTCATTATCACCACGGTGAGAAACATGGCAGCATACAGGCAGATGAGGTACTGGAGAAGCATCTGAGAGCCCTACATCTGGGTCTACAGGCAGCAGGAAGAGACAGTGAGCCACTAGGCCTGGCTTGAGCTTCTGAAACCTCAAAGCCTGTCCCCAGTGACACACTTCCTCCAACAAGGCTGTATGACCTAAGAGTGCTACTGCCTATGAGCCTAAGGGGGTCATTTTCATTCAAATCACCACATTTCATTCCCTGTCCCCCATAAGCTTGTAACAATATCACAATGCAAAACTGTATAGAGCTCAGCTTTAAAAGTTCTATAGTCCAGTCTCAACAAAGTTTAAAAGTCCAAAGTTCAAAGTCTCTTCTGAGATTCATGCAGTCTCCTAACTGTGATCCCCTGTAAAATCAAAATCAAAAAGTAGAGTGCATGCTTCCAACATATAATTGCAAAGGATACACATCTATATTATAAAGGGTGGAAATGGAGCATAGTGAGAAAAACTGGACCAAAGCAAGACTGAAAGCCAACTGGACAAGCTCCAGACTCTGCATCTCCTTATCAGATGTCAAAACGTTCTTCAGATCTCCAACTCCTTTCAGCTTTGTTGACTGCAACACACTTCTTTCTCTTGGGGCTAGTTCCACTCCCTGTTAGCAGCTCTCCTCAGCAGCTATCCCAAGGCTCTGGCATCTCCAGCATCTTGGGGTCTCCAAGGCAATCCAGACTTCACCTTCACAGCTTCACACAATGGCGTCTTTAAGATTCCACGCAGGGACAGCCCTGACACACACTTGGCCTCAGCAGCTTTCCTTAATCTCAGAGGGAAATTCCACAATCCTTTCTTCCATCCTTGACTCTAAAGCCAGAACCACATGACTGAAGCTGCTGAGTTCTGCTGCTTGCTGGGCTGGAGTGTGGCTCCCTTGTTCAATTACATCTTCCTTGACTTTCTCTGTTGTCAGTGATTTCCTTCAGTGCCTAAGCTTGGTTGTCCTGGAACTCCCTCTGTAGACCAAGCTGGCCTTGAATTTAGAGATCCACCAGCCTCTGACTTCTGAGTGTTAGAATTAAAGGCATGCACCACCACACCCAGCCCTAAGCTTTTCTTTAATTCCTTTTCGCTTTTCTTTAATTCCTTCTCACAAGTTGGAAGCTTAGCTGGGTAGGATCTTGCTCTGAGGTCATCACTCCCTTTATTCCACTTAGCATTAGGATATTTTAAAATCTGTTTACATTTC